ACTGTGGACCCACCACCCGCAGGAGGAACATGAAGGGTCCGGTGCAGTGTGGATCGGGTGGCAGACCAAGGCGGGAGCCTTGGCGGTCCAATCCCCGGACAAGGAAACTAGTTTTTGGGACATGGAACGTCACCTCGCTGGCGGGGAAGGAGCCGGAGCTTGTGGCAGAGGTTGAGCGGTACCGGCTTGATATAGTCGGACTCACCTCGACACATTGCATTGGCTCTGGAACCCGAGACCTGGAGAGGGGTTGGACACTCTACTTTGCTGGAGTTGCTCCGGGTGAGAGGCGGAGGGCTGGGGTTGGCTTTTTGTTAGCCCCGAGACTCTCTGCCTGTGTGTTGGGGTTTACCCCGGGGGACAAGAGGGTAGCTTCCTTGCGCCTTCGGGTCGGGGAACGGGTCCTGACTGTTGTTTGTGCTTATGGGCCAAATATCAGTTCAGAGTACCCACCCTTTTTGGAGTCCCTGGGACGAGTGCTAGATAGTACTCCATCAGGGGACTCCATTGTCCTGCTGGGGGACTTCAATGCTCACGTGGGCAATGACAGCTTGACCTGGAGGGGTGTGATTGGGAGGAACGGCCCACCTGATCAGAACTCGAGCGGTGTTTTGTTATTGGACTTCTGTGCAAGCCGCAGTTTGGCCATAACGAACACCATGTTCGAACATAAGGATGCCCACCGGTACACTTGGTACCAGGGCAGCCTAGGTCACAGGTCGATGATAGATTTTGTAGTCGTATCATCTGACCTGCGACCGTATGTTTTGGACACCCGAGTGAAGAGAGGGGCGGAGCTGTCAACTGATCACCACCTGGTGGTGAGTTGGATCAGATGGCAAGGGAACATGCCGCGTAGACCTGGCAGACCCAAACGCATAGTGAGGGTCTGCTGGGAACGCCTGGCAGAAGAACCTGTCAAGACGGTCTTCAACTCCCACCTCCGGCAGAGCTTTGACCACGTCCCGAGAGCAGTGGGGGACATTGAGTCCGAGTGGGCCTTGTTCCACTCTGCGATTGTCGAGGCGGCTGTTGCTAGCTGTGGCCGTAAGGTGGCCGGTGCCAGTCGTGGTGGCAACCCCCGTACCCGCTGGTGGACACCAGAGGTTCGGGGAGCCGTCAGGCTGAAGAAGGAGGCCTACAGGGCGTGGCTGGTCTGTGGGTCTCCGGAGGCAGCAGACAGGTACCGGATAGCCAAGCGGGGTGCAGCAGTGGCAGTTGCCGAGGCAAAATCTCGGGCGTGGGAGGAGTTTGGTGAGGCCATGGAGAAAGACTATCGATCGGCTCCAAAGAGGTTCTGGCAAACTGTCCGGCGCCTCAGGAGAGGAAGGCAGCAACTCGCTCACACTGTTTACAGTGGGGATGGGGAGCTGCTGACGTCAACTGAGGCTATAGTCGGACGGTGGAAGGAATACTTTGAGGAGCTCCTCAATCCCACCAATGCGCATTCCGAGGAGGAACCAGAGCTGGGAGGCCTGGGGATGGACTGTCCGATCTCGGGGGCAGAAGTTGCTGAGGTAGTCAAACAACTACACAGCGGCGGAGCCCCGGGGGCGGATGAGGTTCGTCCTGGGTATCTCAAGGCTATGGATGTTGTAGGGCTGTCATGGTTGACACGTCTCTACAACATTGCGTGGTCATCGGGGGCAGTTCCTAGGGAGTGGCAGACCGGGGTGGTGGTCCCCATCTTTAAGAAGGGTGACCTGAGGGTGTGTTCCAACTATAGGGGGATCACACTCCTCAGCCTCCCTGGAAAGGTCTACTCCAAGGTACTGGAGAGGAGGGTCCGATCGATAGTTGAATCTCAGATAGAGGAGGAGCAATGTGGTTTTCGTCCTGGCCGTGGAACTGTGGACCAGCTCTATACCCTTGCAAGGGTGATGGAGGGGGCATGGGAGTTTGCCCAACCAATCCACATGTGCTTTGTGGATTTGGAGAAGGCTTATGACCGTGTCCCCAGGGGCACCCTGTGGGGGACGCTCCAGGAGTATGGGGTGGGTGGCTTTCTGTTAAGGGCCATTCAGTCCCTTTACCAGAGGAGCGTGAGTTTGGTCCGCATAGCCGGTAGTAAGTCGGACCTGTTCCCAGTGAGGGTTGGACTCCGCCAGGGCTGCCCTTTGTCACCGGTTCTGTTCATCACTTTTATGGACAGAATTTCTAGATGCAGCCGTGGTGTGGAGTGTGTCGAGTTTGGTGGCAGGAGAATCTCGTCTCTGCTTTTTGCGGATGATGTGGTCCTCCTAGCTTCATCCAGCTCTGACCTTCAGCTCTTGCTGGGTAGGTTCGCGGCCGAATGTGAAGCGGCTGGGATGAGGATCAGCACCTCCAAATCTGAGACCATGGTTCTCGACCGGAAAAGGGTGGCTTGCCACCTCCAGGTCGGGGGAGAGGTCCTACCTCAAGTGGAGGAGTTTAAGTATCTCGGGGTCTTGTTCACGAGTGAGGGTAGGAGGGATCGGGAGATCGACAGGCGGATTGGTTCGGCATCTGCAGTGATGCGGACGCTGAGCCGATCTGTCGTGGGGAAGAGGGAGCTGAGCCAGAAAGCCAGGCTCTCGATTTACCGGTCGATCTACGTCCCAATCCTCACCTATGGTCATGAGCTTTGGGTAATGACCGAAAGAACGAGATCGCGGATACAAGCGGCCGAAATGAGTTTCCTCCGTAGGGTGGCCGGGCTCAGCCTTAGAGATAGGGTGAGGAGCTCGGACATTCGGGAGGGACTCGGAGTAGAACCGCTGCTCCTCCGGATCGAAAGGAGCCAGTTGAGGTGGTTTGGGCATCTGGTCAGGATGCCTCCTGGACGCCTCCCTGGGGAGGTGTTTCGGGCATGTCCTGCCGGCAGAAGGCCCCCGGGTCGACCCAGGACACGTTGGAGAAGTTACATCTCCAATCTGGTCCGGGAACGCCTTGGGGTCCTGCCGGAGGAGCTGGTGGACAAGGCCGGGGAGAGGACGGCCTGGAGCTCCCTAGTTGGGATGCTGCCCCCGCGACCCGGACCCGGATAAGCGGAGGAAGACGAGACGAGAGACGAGATATTCTTGGAATGTTTGTATTTATTTTATTGATTTTAGGCATTATGTGAATTTTGATTTTATTGTTTTTAGTGTTTTTTATGTTTTATGGCATCCCTTTTTTAGTGTGGTCTTATTGTTGTCTCTAATTTTAATGTGTATGATGCATGATTTTATCATGTACTGCAGTTTGGGCAGCCTTGGCTGGTGGCATTAAGGTGCTTTATAAGTAAACAAATGAAATGGTTGACTTTCTACAACTTTCTCCCATCTCCTGACTGCATCTCTGGAGCTCAGTGACAGTGATCTTTGGGTTCTTCTTTACCTCCCTCACCAAGGCTCTTCTCCCCAGAAGAACCTTGGTGTTAAAACACCCACATCCCCAAGAGTGTGACGCCCATGGATGTGCCAGTGGGATTGAGGAGGCCTTCGAAGTATTCTGCCCAGCGATCCACAACATCCCTTGTAGAGGTCAGCAGCCCACTGTTCTCACTATACACAGTGTTGGTAGCACACTGCCTGTGGATGTCTTGCTCCATGGCCCACCGAACTTCTCCGACGCCCGGGTTTTTGCCTCCGCGACCCCCCGAGCCACATTTCGCTTGGACTGCATGTACCTGTCAGCTGCATCTGGAGTCCCACAGGCCAAAAATACCTGATAGGACTCTGTCTTTAGCTTGACAGCATCCGTAACCACCGGTGCCCACCAGCAGGTTCAGGGGTTACGGCTATGACAGGCACAGATGACCCTGCAGCCACAGTTCTGGTCGGCCGCCTCGACAATGGTGGCATGAAACAGGGCCCATCAGAATCAATGTCCCCGGCCTCCCCCAGAACGTTGGGAATTGAATCTGTCATGTTAAGCATTCTACTGTGTCTGGTGTCTTCACAGGTCCCCAAATCTGTTCTGCCCTTAACAGAATCCTTCTGACAGAAGACTCTCCCAGACATTCCCAGTAGACCCTTCACAATATGTTTGGGCCTGCCAGGTCTGACCGGCATCCTCCCTCACCATTGGAGCCAACTCACCAACTCACCACCAGGTAGTGGTCAGCTCCGCCCCTCTTCACCCGAGTGTCCAAGACATGCGGCCGTAGATCAGACGAAACAACGACAGTCGATCATCGAGCTGCGGCCTAAGGTATCCTGTGCCAAGAGCACATTTGAAAACCTCCGCCTCTCATTTCTGACTCGTGATTTCTGCGCATGCGGGTCACTTTGGGACGTGAAGCATTCACACAGAAGAGTGTTGGATGTTGCATTTCAGCCACACACATAAAATCTGAATTGAGCATCAAGGCCTGCAGTGTTAACGTAAAACATGTCTGTTAGCAACAGCTCCTCTGTGAATCCCTGACCCTGTCATCAGGCTCTGAGGGACTTCTTTAAGAAACCTACGCTGTCAGTGGTGAATGATGTTAAGTAAAAACTGATATTATTATGATTGAACTAATATTAATATCTTGACTGCTCCTTATTAAAACGCAGCTTCATCCTGTTGACAGACACCAGGCTCCACCAGTTCCTACAGGGAGGATGACCTTGCCTCGGAACCGACCTTTATCAGTAAAACTCCCTTGAGAAAGTCTAGCAATGGCTTTGTTGATTAGGCTGCACCTGGAGCTTTAGAAGTTTAGACTCCCTTCACAGCTTTCCTGCCTGAGTCTAAGGAATGTGTGTGTGTGCTTGTGTTTTCAATAAATGCTTTCGGAGGACGTCAATCTGATGAGAGAACAAACTGGTTTCAGTCCTGGTGTGTACTAATTTCTCTCTCCACTTTGCAAAGTCTAAATTGATTGTTTATGATTGGTGCTGATTGATTGATTACTATAACCCCCTGTGCTTTAAACTTTCCCTAAGGTTATCTTGGATTGATAAAATTACCCAACAAATGATGATGATCATGTTTATTTGAATCTCCATCTAAGAAAAAAGGTTTAGACCCCGAAAAACTCATTGTCCTGCAGCATGAAATGTGTTCCTCACCTCTGAGACAATAGGGACACCCATGTGAGCCATGTTGGAAATGATGTCACTGTCCTCAGGAGGGATGTTAGCATGCTGGAGGAGCTTACACAGGTTCTCCTCAGTCACACCTAACACACACAGTCACACGTGCACACACAGACACCGACACACATTTACAGTGCAGAAACCAGCATTAGAAACATGAACATGATTTCAGCAACTAGGCAGGATGCTACAGATGGAGGTGATGACTCTAGAGGAGCAGGTGGACCTAACCGTTTTTAAGGAAGATGTAAAGGAGGATGATGCGGATCTTGTCGAATACGCCGACGTTAGCATCCAGGAGAATGGGAACAATGAGCCTCATGGGATCTTTGATCTTCTCGCCCTCTGCATCTGTTCCCATGGCCAGGTCCTTGAAACCAGAGAAGAGCAGAACAGTTGAAAGCTCAGCAGAGAACTTTACCTAGTCTTAGTGAGTTCCTGGCTTGTCTCATGTTAATCAAGCTGATTCACACTTTCCATCAATCACTCATAATCAGCGTGATTATGGGCTAAAGCTGGAGCATTAAAGGAGACATACTATGGCCTTTATCTTCTAAACCCTCCCACTGTCTTTATGGGTGACCCCGCGAGGAAAGCTGACCATTGAGCAGGATTGATGGCTTATCCCTTGAGGTCCACGTGGACCTCAAGAGATAAGCCATCAATCCTGCTCAGTGGTCAGGTTTCCTGGTGGGGTCACCCATAAAGACAGTGGGAGGGTTAAATTCAAATGACACTTCAGCCAATATGAAACACAACATTCATGACGGGGTTTGTACTAAACCCCTCTCACACGGAGATTTTAGCAGTCGTATCCTTTGTAAGTGGAAGGCTGGAAGGCTCTTTGCCTGCTGGTGGTGATCAGAGGGACTGATGGTGTCCCCAGCGTGTGTGTGTGTGTGTGTGTGTGTGTGTGTGTGTGTGTGTGTGTGTGTGTGTGTGTGTGTGTGTGTGTGTGCGTGCATCAGCGCCCTGCTTGGTCTGACCAACACCACATCTTCACAAGCTTGGACATCCAGGAGAGGCTCAGCGTAGATCTTCTGCCCCTCTTGTCTGTCAGATCTTTAACATCACCAACAGGGACTTTCTGAAACAGCTCATGTTCGGCACATGCTTCCAGAAGTAGACACATGATGGAATGGACGTGTTCTTACATTCCGTAGACACCCACAAAGATATTAAAGCCAAGTTTGGCATAATATGTCCCCTTTAGGTCAAACAGCTCTTCTAACCTAAGGTCCTCTGGAGCTGTAAGGGCTTCACCTGTTCCACACGACACAGCTTGTCCACTGAGCCCTGGTACCGGTTCATGCAGTCCTCTGCCAGGTGAAGATGGGTCGAATACTGGGGTCAGACAGCAAAGGTTACACAATCACGGATGAGTTTCACTCAGCAGAACAGTCAGCTTCAATCGTTTTAGCTCTCATTTACTCCCAGGTGTTTGTTGTGGTTGTTTTTATTCTAACTGTTAAACACAACAACGATTAGAATATCATGACAACGTTGATTTCTTTCTTCAGTAATTCCATTCAAAAAGTAAACTGGAATATTACATTAATTCATAACACACAGATGCACGGTTAGGTATGAGACCAGGCTGGAGGAAGCTGTCCTGGATGATGGTGACCTCTCTCTCTCTTTCTTACTCACTCACTCACTCACTCACTCACTCACTCACTCACTCACTCACTCACTCACTCACTCACTCACTCACTCAACGAGGGTCACTCTCACTCACTCACTCACTCACTCACTCAACGAGGGTCACTCTCACTCACTCACTCACTCACTCACTCACTCACTCACTCACTCACTGACTCACTCAACGAGGGTCACTCTCACTCACTCACTCACTCACTCACTCACTCAACGAGGGTCACTCTCACTCACTCACTCACTCACTCACTCACTCACTCACTCACTCACTCGCTCACTCACTCACTCAACGAGGGTCACTCTCACTCACTCACTCACTCACTCGCTCGCTCACTCACTCAACGAGGGTCACTCTCACTCACTCACTCACTCACTCGCTCGCTCGCTCACTCACTCACTCACTCACTCACTCACTCACTCACTCAACGAGGGTCACTCTCACTCACTCACTCACTCACTCACTCAACGAGGGTCACTCTCACTCACTCACTCACTCACTCACTCACTCACTCACTCACTCACTGACTCACTCAACGAGGGTCACTCTCACTCACTCACTCACTCACTCACTCACTCAACGAGGGTCACTCTCACTCACTCACTCACTCACTCACTCACTCACTCACTCACTCACTCGCTCACTCACTCACTCAACGAGGGTCACTCTCACTCACTCACTCACTCACTCGCTCGCTCACTCACTCAACGAGGGTCACTCTCACTCACTCACTCACTCACTCGCTCGCTCGCTCACTCACTCACTCACTCACTCACTCACTCACTCAACGAGGGTCACTCTCACTCACTCACTCACTCACTCACTCAACGAGGGTCACACTCACTCACTCACTCACTCACTCACTCACTCAATGAGGGTCACTCTCACTCACTCACTCACTCACTCACTCACTCACTCACTCACTCACTCACTCGCTCGCTCACTCACTCACTCACTCACTCACTCACTCAACGAGGGTCACTCTCACTCACTCACTCACTCACTCAACGAGGGTCACTCTCACTCACTCACTCACTCGCTCGCTCACTCACTCACTCACTCACTCACTCACTCACTCACTCACTCACTCGCTCGCTCACTCACTCACTCACTCACTCACTCAACGAGGGTCACTCTCACTCACTCACTCACTCACTCAACGAGGGTCACTCTCACTCACTCACTCACTCACTCGCTCGCTCACTCACTCACTCACTCACTCACTCAACGAGTGTCACTCTCACTCACTCACTCACTCACTCACTCAACGAGGGTCACTCTCACTCACTCACTCACTCACTCACTCACTCACTCACTCAACGAGGGTCACACTCACTCACTCACTCACTCACTCACTCACTCACTCACTCACTCAACGAGGGTCACTCTCACTCACTCACTCACTCACTCAACGAGGGTCACTCTCACTCACTCACTCACTCAACGAGGGTCACTCTCACTCACTCACTCACTCACTCACTCAACGAGGGTCACTCTCACTCACTCGCTCGCTCACTCACTCACTCACTCACTCACTCACTCACTCACTCAACGAGGGTCACTCTCACTCACTCACTCGCTCGCTCACTCACTCACTCACTCACTCACTCAACGAGGGTCACTCTCACTCACTCGCTCGCTCACTCACTCACTCACTCAACTAGGGTCTCTCTCACTCTCTCTCTCTCTCTCTCTCTCTCTCTCTCTCTCTCAACTTTTTTCACATTATTTCATAGCTTATTACTCATCAGAAATGCTCGCTGCTTAAGTTCGGACTCCTTCTCCAAAATGTCAGGTCTTCAAATAAATTCATAAAATTTGACTTTTCCATTCATTAATTATGTAATGTCCACAAATGGTCATGAGGAGAAACACGCTGGCCTTTCATTTCTTCACCAGTATTTTCACGCAGGTCATCATACTGGTGTGCAGTGGTGTTCCAGGATGGGACGTTGTAACCCGGTTCGTAAAAAGCTAATGGTCTGATGTCTTTGACGATAAAATTCACCAACAACTTGGTGATTTGCTGCCGTCGTCGTTCTGTTACAGCTGGGCGTTTGGTGAAAGCGCTGACTGACTGCTGAACAGGCGACTCGGGTTGTCCCTCCTCAGCTAGCATTAGCGGATGCCGTTTCAGATGCATGTGCAGCACTTGTACTTCTGTTATATTTTAGAACGGACTTGCAGATTTTACATGTTACAGAACTAGAAGTTCCATCTTTAGTGAAGTATTTCCACACAGCTGAAACATTTCTGCTAGTTTGCTGCGATGACCCACCCGGCTCGTCACCTGCTGTGTTTTCCGAGGACTCCATTTTGTCGTTATCACGTGACAGCGACTAGTCGATGAAAGGCATAAAAAGTCACTACAGAGCAGTGAAGTCGACTAGTTCATACAACCCCTAGTGTGTGCGTGTGTGTGTGTGTGTGTGTGTGTGTGTGTGTGTGTGTGTGTGTGTGTGTGTGTGTGTGTGTGTGTCTGCTCAGTGGCTTCCTGGTCGTTACCGCCGATCCAGTTCAGTTCAGACGGCCACAGCTAAACCTATTTCATCGCCATGACTCGTCACTCAAGCCAGGCGACTCCAGAGCTCCCACGCACCTCTCCACCATCTGCAACATCCACACAGTAAGCCCATTCCTTTTACCTTCTGGAACGTTGCCATATCCTTGTTTCCCTTTGAGGCTCGTGCCGGCGTTCCAGATTAACTAGACGTCACGCATCGCTAGCACTTCTGCGTTTGGGTGTTGTGACACACTACACTCCTCCTCACTGCTTGCTATGTTGAGCCAACATGAGGAGTAATGAATGAGTCTGATACAGAATTTCCCTTTTGGAATGGAATTACTGAAATAAATCAACGTTGTCACTAGGGATGAGCGAGTACACCACTACCTGTATCTGTATCTGTTCAACCATCTAAATTATCTGTATCTGTACTCGGAGTGGGCGTGGCCTAACCCGGAAGTGGGTGTGGTTTACATCATTACGTTATTTTAAGTCTGATCAGAAGTTGCTATGTGTATTGTTTATTTGAAAACTATTTACAGAGCAGCCCCAGAGTTGAGATTAAATGTTTTTGATCACAATAGTAAAGGAACTGTTACAGAACAAGTTTTCAATAAAATCAGAACATTAATATTTAAGTGCATGAATTAAGAGAGAGAGAGAAGAAAAGATCTTTTCTATAGCGCCTGTCAAGATAAAAATCACAGGGCGCTTCACAAAAACAAAACATGAAAAATAGAAAAAAGAATTTAGAAAATGATTAAAATATATTTAAAATGCGCAAAAAATAGACAATTGTGATAAAAATATGTAAAGAGAGAGAGTGAACAGGAAAGAGGGAGTGGATCCTGAGGAAGAGGAGAGAGAGAGAGAGAGAGGGGAAAAAAACCCGACCGGAGCGGAGGCAGTGACTGACGCAGCACAAGCCGTTTTCAGCTCTGTCTTGTCAAATGCACCACGTACGTTACGAAAAAAGTAACTTTAAATAACTTTAAAGTAACTTTAAAAAGAAGCAAACTGAAGAAAACATAGGGAGTTCTGAAGAAACATGAACAGTGAAGCAAGCACAGAGAGATCTGTTTCTGTCTGTGTGTGTGTGTGGATGGACCGGACACAGACTGAGCTGTGAGCTCCCGGCTGCAGTTTTGTGTGTAGGGAGGGGCGGGCGCTCTATGTGACTGGCCAATCACAGAGCGTGAAGACAGTCAGTTACCCAATGAGGATTTTCCTTCAGCACGATTACAGATATTTACCAGTTTTACTCGTTTCATGCTCGTACTCGTCAAAAATGCTTTATCCGTACCGGATCCCGTCTGAAACGAGTAACTGGCTCATCCCTAGTTGTCATGATATACTAATTGTATGATCAGCACCTGTATAAAAAACTAAAGTCCAATTTTAAAATCAAACTGCACAGCAAACAGCTGACAGGGTGGCCGTAGTCTGGAGTTTATCTTCAAATGCGATGAGCTGTTGTACACACACACACACACACACACACACACACACACACTCCTACCTTGCTGAGCTCCTTCTGGTACTGGGGCATCTTCTTAAGCATCTGAGACAGCTCTTTAATGGTGGTCTAAAAGCAAAAAGGGACGGTCTAGCCACTTTGAGACAATCAGTAAATCATCCACTTCACATACGTTCCACCGTGTTTACAGCACAGTAGAGCTTCCAGGTGAGCATCTCATTAGCAACCCAACATGCTTTACCTTTTCTCCAGTGTTCATCTTTTTACTGGCCGAGAAATCTTTCAGAGAGCGAGTTACCGCCCTGCAGATAGAGAGAATGACAGAAGGGCCTGTAGTCTGTGCCAGATGATTTCCTTGTACAGGCAGAAGTTTTAAACCACTTACGTTGACACCTCTGCTATGTGTTTGTGTCTCAGAGACAACCATAGGTCATCGTCCTCATCCAGGACAACCTCCTTCATTCTGGTCTCTCCCATCCCGCTGGTTTCAAACCTAACAGGAAGTCAGACATGTTTACACCTAGCCCATTTGCAGCTAGGAGAGTGTACTCAGTCAGATAGATGAAAATGTTATGTTATTAGTGTTATCGTCTACACTTTTCACTATTTCCACAGTCGTGTAATCTATTTTTGACCATTAGCATATATCTATATCTAAAGCTAATAACAACGCTAGTGAAATGAGGCTAGTGCTGAGAGTAGCACTGCTAGTTTACCCGTAGACGTCATTCTCGATGCCCAGCAAGTCGTAAGCCATCGCCTGCAGGGTGAGCTCATGTAGGAGGGGTGACACAGGATCAAAGCCACGATCCAGGATGAGTAGTTGGGAGCGACACTTGTCTGGACCCTGGAATCATGAGCAGACGGGAACACTGCACATGCTGGAGGACTGACAGATACAGCCCACCAAATGACATGGGGAGCTGGGGTCTAACGTTGGGCAGATGATGAGCAGTCTTAATGCTCTGTTCATTTTTCTAACTAAACACTGATCTTATGGCAGTTTGTGGTGGTAATCTGTTATTCTCACCTCTGAAACTACTTTCTGCCAACCGGGAGGAATAATACTAAACTACTTTTATTTGACCTGCCTTTCTGAAAACTCTTGTGTACTTGTGCACAGTAAGAGACAAGGGACAAACAGGCACACCATAGGAAACACCTCCCGTACACATAATACCAAGATAAAGCACGTCCAGGGAATAGGCAAGCTTAAGTAGCTGAGTTTGGAGTTTAGGCTTGACGTGTTGAAGCTGGAGATGAAGTCCAAAGGGAGGGGCAGATCTGTGTGTAACCCTACCTCTCCCATGGTGGGATCATCAGCCTTGTAGCCGTCCAGCTTCTCCTGGAGCATTTGGGCAAGAACCGCACAGTCTTTGTACTCCCTGTGCAAGCAACACACACACACACACACACACACACACACACACACACACACACACACACACGTGTGGAATTTGTTTTGCTACTAAATGAAACTACTGAATAAACATCCTTCATGACGTCAGAATATGAATTCAGAACCTGGCTTAGTACCTTCATCTCAGTCAAGGAGCCAGCAGTGAAAACACCTCGAGCTTACCCTCTGTATCGGACCCCAGGATACTCTTTGAGTGTGGCACAAAAGGTGGCGATCTGTTCAGCACAACGCTCCATCATGTTATTCTTCACGTCAGCCTTAAAGGGGCTGTAGAAGTCCTGAAAGGCATCTGCTCTGTCCAAGGAGAAGACCTGAACATAGATGAAGAAAAGAGACGCTCTCAACTCTTAAGGTCATGTAGATGTTTCTCTGGCACAACTTGACGACCGGGCATGCTAAACACTTGCAATGTTTGACTTCCACAATAAAAATCTTTATTTTTCAGACAAAGTGAGATTATTTCCATCCATCTATTTAGCACACTCCCAATGCTTTGTTGTGGTACATGTTATCCATGCCTGTGCTGGCTGCAGAGAAGCATCACTGTTTGTCAGCTAATGCCATGCAGGATAGGACAGAGAGGTGGGCTTGGGCTGGTGTGTTGTGTTCCTTCTTCTAATGATTAAAACATCAGGGGTCTTATTTATCAAACATGGCGTAGAATCCTTACTAAAACCGTACTTAAGCTCAGCAAGAAAAAGTACTTACGCCAAGCAGGTGTGTGATCTAGCGAACATGGAGGACGCACAGCTGCACGCCATCTCCGCTTCATAAATCAGAAACTATCTAGAAAGGTTCTCAGCTGCTTTTTAGTCACATCTCGCCCTCACCACGCCCACTTACTGCCATAAATGGTCAATGCAAAGTGCCTTGTGGATCTCATGCATGTACATAAGCCAGCTGTTGCAGCGTTTCGACCACGACCGCTGTTAGGTAAATATTGATATTATAGCTTGACTGTTAAAGCATCTGGTGCTCCTTAAGAATAAATAAACACAGGATTCATCATGTAGTTTCTTCATCCAGTAGCCTTTACAGGGAGGAAGTGACCTTTGAGCTGTTTCTGGCAGACCAAGCGAGTCGGTTTTATCAGTAACACTCCCATGGGAAACTGTTGAATGAATGCACCTGGGTTTGTATGAAGGAAATGTGACCTTCCTTTCACTCCCTAGGCCTTAACGGAGTAGGTTTGGAATGTGATGCGTGTGTGCGTTTGTAACTCTGTAACTCAAGAAGGCCCCGCCTTCTTCGTCCTGTCTTTTCAATAAATGCTGTTGGAGGACTTCCGGTCCGATGAGAGCGAACTGAATTCATGCTAGGTGTGTAGTGATTTTTCTCTCCACTTTGCAAAGTCTAAAATGATTGATTATAATTGGTATTGGTGTTGAATGACTGATTACTATAAAAGCCCTGTGCATTAAACTTTCTCTAAGGTAATCCTGGATTGATAAAATTACCTAACAACCAGAGATCAAGGAAGCGCTATTTCATAAGCAGAAATTGAGGTACCTGTGGGTGAGGTGGAGAAATGAAAGGAAGTGCTTTTGCAAAATAAGAGAAAATCCACAGAGTGGCACATCGTTGCTGAAGCCGTCAATGCTGAGTTCTTCAGAGAGATCTGTGGAGGGTATAAAAAAATGGTCCAATCGGGATTCGATCCCCAGACACCCGGATGAAAGTCACGCACGCTAACCAGTCACCCAAACGGAGATCTCCCCTGTTCAACTAGCCAGGGCGCATGATCAATCGGGTCACGGTGACAGGACACACCCTGTCACAGACGCTGCGCATGACGTTCTGTCTCAATCTGCCCCCCGCTGATAGTCTGCATTCCGTATTCTGCGCTTCAGGTGTGTGTGCGTGCATGTGTGTGTGTGTGTGTGTGTGTGGGGGGGGGGGGGGGGGCATGTTCTGTGTGAAAACGAAGCAGTACAAGTGATAATGCTGCAGGATTTCATAATTGTATCTTCTCAGCAGCAGCACTGCAGGTGCTCTCCATGTCCAGCATGTGTGTAAGCCAGGTCCTTAGTCAACTTAAAGTTGCGCACATTTTTCCGCTAAGTTTTCTTTCATAAATCCCAAAGTTTGCGTGGAAAGTTGCTTACGCAGTTTTCCGACCCCGTTTTGTGTGTAAGCAAGCTTGATGAATGAGGCCCCAGGACTTTAACTAAAGCTGTTGGTCTGATCTTTACCTCTGTTTCCCAATCTTTATTGACTTGTGGACCCCTGAGCCATGTTCTCGTACCACGAGTACCCCCGTAGTCAATCGTGTTGATGATTCCCCAAAAGTGGAATGTACACATGATTCTTAAATGAAAATAATTTCATTTAAATGTCCTTATTCTGAACAACATCTTCTTTAACCTTCACAATTCTCATGCAGGGTCCAGAGGAAATAGACTCCATCTGGAAACTTTCCAGGGGAGTATTCCAGTAAGCGAGTTTAGAACATCACGGATCTCCTAATAAATCCCTTCTTGGCATAGCACTCCCCTTCCAGTTTCACTGGCTCCACAAACGGTACTCAGGTGGATTCAATCCCCTCTAATCCAAGCGAGGATGGGCAATCAAGGCTCAAGCGCATCCATAGGCAGCCCCTGTTAATCGATGCTAGATAAATGAGAATGGAAGTAAAGGACAGAGCTTCGTTCTTCATCCAGGCAGAGCAATAACAATTCATTCATGTTTATCAGAACTAAAACAGAGACCATGAGCTGTTTCTGACTATGATTCTGATAACAAGCTAATAAATTGAACTAGCTCCTCTTAAGCTAACTGGCTAGCAGAGCTTCTGACTGACAGTTTATGTGCAGCAGCAAATCAACTCTCCTGATTAACAAGGTTATAAAAGCTCATAAATGAAAAATCACTTTGATGTGTGGGGAACTTTTCCAGGCCCTCTTTAGCAGGGAGGGACTGGGAGGAGAGTGCTGTAGCCTTTTAGCTGGAAGCTAACCGGAGCCTGGGGCTAACATCACCACCTGGTGGAACACTAGCGACATGAATTTGGGTTGGTTCACCGGCACGTGTCGGAGTCAGCCCGGTTACTATCAGCTGCTTAACGACACCGAGCGGACTCACGTTCACGTTTGAAAGCAGCGCTGATTCCAGAAACCTCAGCACAAAGTGCGTTCGTTAATCTGAGCCAGCATGACGAGCAAGGGAAGCGAGCGGCAGCGGAAAGCGGGGGCGGAGCGGAGATAGTGGAATTTTGGGGAAGGGTGTACATAGGGGGCGGGCGTATTACGTGAACGGACCCATCTGATTGGCCGCATATCAGAAGGGCTGCATTTGATTGGTCAAATAATATTCCGCGTAAAAAACTGAGCTGATTTACAAAAAGGTGATGTATGACACGGATGGAAATGTTTGACCCAAACATTTATCACCGTTTTTGACGTGCTTTGCGATGGGCCTATCGCACATCCTGTTATCGCGATGACGATAATTTTTCGATATATTGTGCAGCCCTACCCCGGGGGGTCACAACCAGCAGCCGGCAGAGTCCCGGGAGATATCAGCGGCAAGCCCATAGGCCCGCCCGCAGCCTCCCACCCCCAAGCCGGCCGAGCCCGGAAACCAATGACCCGGGATCCAGGGGCGACCAGCAAACAAAGAGAGGGGGAAGTTGGGATAAGACATGTCAGACACTGACAGGTCTTGACATACTCCGCACCAAAATTCCTGGACAGGTGGACAGGACCACAGTGCGTGGATGTAATTGTCAGGAACGTTGTTTGTGCAGTGTGTACAGGCGTCAGACGACACAAACCCCATCTTGAACATCCGATGACCTGTATAGTGTACTCTGTGTAGAATTTTGTACTGAATTAATTGTAAATTGGAGTGTCTGATCATTTTAAAAGTTTTAAACAAGTTTGGGACCAGAAGTTTTGGTCAAAGCTAACTGATAGATCCACCTCCCATTTTTCAATAGGATTGTTATTCTATCATCTATTTTGGACAGTGTATTTTATACTTTAGACAGTAGTTTGGGGGTTTGAGATTATAGAAGTCTAATACCCTTGGTGGTGTTTTTTAGTTCTAATTTTAAGCTTAAATTTTTGTTTAACTGCAGATTGTTTTTGTTGTTTCAGTCTTAAATCCAGAAGAGGCCTTCAGCAGATACCTGCAGGTATTAGGGGCTGCTAAAGAGAGCAGAAACTAATGTTACCCCTGACCAGCGAGTTGGTGTGAACTGAAAAAACATTGCTGGCATTGCAGCAATTGCAAAGTTGAAGGCCATTGATGAGGAGGTGTATGAAGAACAGTGCAACAATGGACAAGAGCTGGTGAAGGTTCTCAGTCGTCCAGGCCATTGTAATCAACAGAGGTTCAAATGAAAGCAACTGGGCTTCTTTAGTTTCTTGAACATGAGTAGTTTCTGCTTGTTAGGCAACAATAGACAGCTACAGTTTATGAGCGTATCTCTCCCATATTCCAGTCAAAATGGACAAAGTTCTGATGAGAAGCAAAACATCCTCAAAAAAACCAAAGAAGTTCAGCTGCCTTTAGTTGAACCCATTTGAATAGACAAGAGGAAGATTTTGGCCTCTTTCACAAGCTGATGTAAAGCCAAGGATGAAAGCCGTGGATTACAGGACAAGGTGGACAGTTTTAAGTATTGGGAGAAACTTGGAAAAATACCCTAGAAAATGTGTTTAAGAATGTAAGCACACGTTTGTCATTTAGTTGGATTAATGAGAAAAGTCATAGCTAGTCTTATTCGTTCAGTTGTGTTTAGTGACGTCACCATAGCTGTCATGATATTTGTTAGAAAAAAATGGTTTGATTTTTGTATTCTTCATTTGTGAATCTAACTGGACTGGTGAATTCTTATGAATTTTGTTTTCCATGACTGTTTTTTATGGATAAGAGACATATATAATATTAAAATGAATATGTTTGTTTGAACTTTGTTCATTTTGGTGACTATTAAAATCACTAAGGCATTGTGATTTCATTGAATAAATATTGTTTTACTTTACTTTAGAAAGTAAAGTAAAAGGCTCAACTAATGTTAAGTTACTGATGAAGTAATGATTGATGAGTCATTAGGAGTGAGTACTTTACTTCAGGGGCCACAAAAAGCTTAGGGAATGGTAAGTTGCTGTTTAGATCGTGATTAGTCATTTGAAGCATTAACTTTAGTTCTGCAGCGCTTTTAGGGAATAGGAGGTTTTACAAAAATGCTACCATTGTCCAGCTGGCTTATTAGATCCCATAACTGGAAAGAGCTCCCTGGCGGGAGCTGGAATCAAACTCATGACCCTCCGATCATGCTGCCCCCAAATAACCAGACATTCTTCCAATTGGACTACAAAAATCTCAGTGAGAAGAAAAATGGCTGTGTTTAGCAAGATGTCCATGACCATTTTGGGCAGTTATCGTGACGACAAAGAAAATACGTATTAGAACAATTTAAAAACTTAGCGGCTTGACAAATATGACCAAAACATTACAATAAAATTTCTAAATATCACCTCTAGTCAATAATATAAGGCTTTTTGCACACTTAGACACTTAAAAGGGATAAAAAGTGGCTTTTTCATGGTGTCTCCTTTAAAGTGACAGTGCCCTGAAACAGCTCATCCTGGAAGGTAATGAAACATTCAAGCTGCTGAAATTGCTTTAAGTTAGACGGATTTTATGCAAAGAACTTCATTAATATATTTTGTATTGACCATAGGAGTATTACAATACTTCCCCTTTTGGTTAACAAAAGTGTTCCTCACAGTCAGCTCTGACTGATGCACTGCTGTGGTAAATGTTAACTACAAATGCAAGAATTGATGCGTCTTGCTGGGCTGTTACAGTGTCTTACCTGAGATTCATAGGGTAGAAAGGCTATGTGGATCTCTGTCAAGGCCCTCATGGCTTTGGAGGCGCGAGATTTAGTCAACAGTCCAAACAAGGAGTCTGGGATTGCTGCAGAGTATCACAAAGGTAACAGGTTAGTGATGGGAACGACGGCTCTTTTTATGACAACCGCTTTGTATGGCTCGGCTCACTAAAATGAACCGGCTCTTTCGGCTCTCAAACGGTGCCTCACATTTTTTTGTTTTGTAAATTAATTTATCACCAGAAATAATGTTAAATATGTGTGAAATTATTGGCCAATCTACAAACTTACATGAAACCAACTTTTAATTATTTAAAAGGAGACTAAGCAGTTTTGGCTTGTTTTTAGCATCTCTAGTGTCCGTTTTGTAGAACCAACACACGCCTCTCTGTGAGAAACGTCTCCCCAACAGTCATTAGTGTCTACAGAAGGGATTAATCTCTAAATCAAAGCTATCATGTGTTCATGATCTGAAACATGCAGGAAACGTGATGGAAGCAGACGGCAGTGTGGCTCGGCTCCTCCCAGACAAAGCCGGCTTTGATTGGTCACTTTAAAGAGCCGGTTCTAAGAGTCATTGCGCTCGCGAACAACTTAGACTTAGTTCCTCCGGCGCCTACTGGCGCATTGGGCGCAAAGTAATCGCCAGCGAGCTCTGTCGGCCGCGACGGCCTCGGCTTCATCCCATGACAGGTTCACGGCACGTAGGTCTTCGATAAAAGTTCTGCGCCATGTGATTTTTGGCCGTCCTTGTTTCCGTTTTCCGCGTCCTGGGGTCCACAGCATGGCCACTTTTGGTATGCGTGTTTGAGCCATTCGTAGCACATGGCCCCCAAACCGAAACCGTCGCTCTGCAACGACCTCAGCGAGTTGGCGTGTTCCCGTTTGGTGGTGGATCGCTTCATTCGTGATGTGGTCGAGGTAGGAAATGTGAAGGATGTGCCTGAGGCATCGTTGTTGGAACGCATTGAGGCGCTGTGTGATGGCCGCTGTCGACCTCCATGTCTCGCTCCCGTACATGGCGGTTGGAATGACGATCGTGTTGAATAGGCGGATTTTTGTTTGTAGCCCGATGGACCCAGACGCGAACAACACATCACTAAAACAGGTGGGTGACACAAATCATACAACCTGGCTCAGTTTCACTGTTTTTAAAGATGTTGAGCTCTCATTTAACCAATACACCTGCAGCGGCCTCTAGTAGGAAAGGCTCAGGTGTGACTGAATCAGGAAGTAAAGCTCAGCCAGAGGAGAAAGTAGCTTCAGATGACTTACTCTCTGATATTTGGACATCTCTCCTCTGATTGGCTAAGAACAACATGACTCTACCACTGACTGGTGGCTCTGCAACGTTGATGTTTTATCTCCACAAATAACACACGTCTGGAGGAGTTCTGCTGTGTGGTGGAGTTGCTAATGCTATCTAAGACGTTCTCTGCTGTTTCTTTGAGTGTAACCAACAACAACCTTCCCCATCACAGATTAAGATGGGTGAGTACATACATGTTAAAGGTGCATTATTAATGAATCCTAGTCCTAGTCTAGTACTTATGTTGACAAACAGACCTCGCTGACTTTGATGTGTATTGTCATCTCGGTGTGCATCTGGAGGTGAGAGGCGAGGACAGCTTTATGACTGTCACGGTCTGAGGTGAGCTCTTCTCATGCAACTGCCTGACTCTTCTGAATTAGAGGTAGGCGGAGCTGGAGAGCGGGACAACTGCAGCTTGTTACCCCGTCATCCAGACGGGCTATAATGATAGCAGTGAGACGCATTGCTCTCCTTGCGTAGCTCACGCCATTCGTTTGTTGCTAAAGGACTAAATCCTTGTGGATCTCTCGCCTGTTTTTGATGCTCTGTTTGTGCAACTCTAGGTATCTCACTATCTACAGCCTCTCCTCGCAACCATAACCAGTCGGACTTCACCTCACACCACGTCTCCTCCCGTCTCTCCGTCCAACCAGCTCTCCCTCCGCTCACCTTCCAGGACCTAACGGACCCATTGCTAGCCTCCTAGGAAACCTCAGACCCCCCCCTGAATCCCTGCTCTCCCAGCCACAGTAAGTCTCCTTCGTTCCACACCCCCGTTTTCTCCCTCAACGAGAACGGACGTGAAAAGACTCCTTGTTTTCCAGACCCTGCAGCTGCAGTTCCCTTCCCTGACCTTGTCAGTGCGCCCTCAGTTGTCCTCCTTTTCTAAATAAATCATTTTTGTTATCCCAGTTGTGGTCCCGTGCATGATTCTGCATGTCTTGGGCCAGATCCTTACCTCAGAACATGACAAAAACAGCTTGAAGCAGTTAAGACTTCTTTTAATTTTATTATAAATTGTATAATTACAATTTTTATCAAATCATTTAGTTTACTTTAGTAGAACATACACATATTCATGCACATCATTGATGATTATCCTATTGTTAGCACTGTGATTTACTACTTTTAGTGCAGTGCATCATCACTTACTAATTCAGTAGTGTAAACAGTTTGACTTTACATCATTTAGTCTCCATACGCATAGTCTTCCTTACATTTAGTACTCCATCTGACATGATTTATATACACACTTCCTTCTGCGTTTATCCGCGGGCAGCCACCATCAGCGTCATCCTGAGGAAGTTTGCAGCCGCAAACGAAACGTAGCGGGAAAACAAAACTGTTCTGTGTTTTAAAAAAGAACTGCAGCATGGAATTAGAAATACGACACAGCAAGAACTCACCTAAGATGTTAGTTTAGCTGGGCTGTTGTTACGAAGAAAATAGGTGTCAACTAAATCAATTTGTCATAATCTTCGTTAATGAAAACAACACTGTCATCTGTCAGTGTTCATGTTGGTAAAATCTACTGATGATTGTTGTTTAAACAATTATAAATACAGCTGTATTGATCCAAGTGTGAAATGTGAATATTTCATATTTCTTTACAGTTTCAAGTAGGTGTAACATTTCCTTTACACAAGTGTTAAACGATTGCTTCAGAAGAAATATGGTAGATTTTACTCAACTAACTGAAAAAACATACTGGACGACTGAATTGTGACTAAAATTAAAATGATCTTTGGTCAAAAGATTAAAACTAAATTTAAATGTCTCGTCACAGTTACCGCTGGTATACTCAGAGTCAGTTATCACTAGTTTTGAAGTTCGATGTCGAATTATTCCACCTAATGCTTGACTTTGTGCGACTGAGATGGATTGACTCACTGTCGGTGAAGAAGACGTGAGCTCCTCTGTACCTCGGAGCCTGGGGATCCCTGAAGTCATCAATCAGACCCTCAACAGACTGAAACAACAGAACACACACGTTTAACTGGGTGTTAGACTCACACACACATGAAAGACACAAACACTCAGGCACAAACTGTAGAAATATGACATCACTGACCTCGTCTGAAGGTGTGATCAGGTAGATGGCCTCCATGCTGGGCAGAGGCTCGCGGCGTTTAGTGATGTCTTCTACAACTGAAGCAAACAGACCAATGGAAATGTTTAGCACACAATTCTCTGCATCTTACTATCATTTCATTACATTCAGTCATTATGGTCATCATGCGTTCATTCAGAAGAGTAAAATAATAACCAAACGCCTTCATAGACTAAAAATGTCTTCACTAATCCCACAGTGGGGAAGTTCACTTGTTACAGCACAGCAAGAAGAAGAATTTATCATTACATATTAATTATGACCAATAAGATGTGATGATTCCACATAAATATGAAATATCAATCTGATTGATCTTTGAATGTTTAACCAGAAGATTCTAGGGTTGTTTGCTTCTTCAGGGACCATAAACACACTTCGTATTACTTCAGACTGAGTCAGTATATAGTTTATATAATGAATTTAATTATTTTCCTAAATTAATGATGTATGACAGGAGAGGAATAATGAGATGTGGTGTGGTGGATGTGAGGGGTTGTGATGGAAGCTAGATGTTGTAGCAACCGTTCTTTGTTTCTGAGAGAGATTGTGAAATCTGGGTGTAAAAGAATTTGTTGTTTGTTGTAAACTAGAGGGTTAGTTATTGATAAACCTCATCAGAAACCAGTATGCAGGCTTACGACGCCCTGGTATGAGTTGCTCCCGGCGGTCCGGAGGTTAGAGGTCAGAGTGGTGAGGTCACCAGACGTCTAAACCATGATTCTCAGAGGTTAGTAGTTTCCTCTGAGTTCAGCTTCCCCGGCCATGAGTTGCAACCTGGGATCTGCAGGTTAGGTGTCCAAGGTGGATGTCTGAGAGTTGAAGTAGCTCTGAAAAGAGCTGTTGTGTTGTTACGTACTCTCGCCACTAGATGGCCCCGCAGCTCCCTCCTCATCCGGCTCCCTTCGCAGCTGTCCGATATTAGTCATCACCTGGTCACTCAGTCAAAAGGCTCGCCTCACCTCCCATTCAGAGAGAAGGTCCAGGGTAGTGTAGACTCTTCTGGGGTTTATACTATTCTCTTCTCCTCGGTTGCATCTTTGGTAAAAACTCGTTTTCGCTCGCTAGTCATCGGTTTGCAGTCTCTCTCGGATTTCGGATTTTGGATTTATAGGATTTGACTATTTGGCCTTTCAGACTTCGGAACGTATTTTGACAGAGATTTAGGATCTCCTCTCATTCTCTGTTGTTTATCCCCATCCCCTTCTGGGTCTGCGTTTTTCGTTATCCCCTTTTTCTATATCGATATTGATAACCTCCTTTGTCCATTTTCCTTTTTGTAATAAAATTCTTGTTTTTAAGCGACGCTGCACTCTGTTATTATTCATCCCTCGCACCACTTTTATTATTTCCCCTACCTCATCTCTCCTAAAGAGCTGGGGACGTAATATGTGTCTATAATCAGTTGCAGCATCGCAGAAAGGTTTTGACTTAAGGTCAAAGGAGATGGTTTGAAAAGAGATGCTTCTTTCCCGATTTGGCCGAATCGGGAGTCAGCTGGAAACTGAATTAATCGGGAAGTAATTCGTGTTTTATTAAATGACTTTGTTATGATTTCTGGCCAAGTTTGGCAAATCAGTTTGACACGTTTCTGAGAATTTACCAACATCCCTCAGAAAGCCACACCTCCTTCAGATACAAAATTCTTAACCTTAATATCTTATTGTAATGTGTATGAGTGTAGATAATGATTAACTTGTTAAATCAAACACATAGTGATTTGAGATTTAAATGGATCATTGTAAGAACAATGAGTAAATGACTGTTGTGTGCTAGTTTTCGTTGAGACATGGCTTAATGACAACATTCCGGACTCGGCCATACAGCTGGAGCAGCTAGCATGCTACAGAGCCGACAGGGCTCTCGTAGACGGAGGCAAGGCCCGAGGTGGTGGGGTCTGTGTTTACATCCGTGACGAGTGGTGTCGTGATGCCAGTGTAGTACGAAAACTCTGCTCATCACTGGCGGAGTTCATGATCGTGAAGTGTCGCCCCTTCTACTTGCCGAGGGAGGTAAGTTCCATCTTGTTGGTCGCTACTTATATACCTCCGTCTAGCAACAACAGCGATAGAAATGCGGCGCTGAACGAATTGTATCAGGCCATCAGTGAGCAACAAACAGCACACCCAGACGGTTTCATCATCCTCGCAGGAGACTTTAATCACGCTGATCTTAAAACTGTTCTCTCAAAGTTTCATCAGCATGTACATTTTCCAACAAGGGGAGATAACATATTGGACCACCTGGTCTACACACAGGAAAATGGAGCATACAAAGCCCTTCCCCTCCCCATATCGGCACCTCTGATCACCTCACTGTTGTGCTAATGCCAGCATACAGACAGAGAGTGAAGGTCGTCAAACCTGTTATGAAAGAGGTAAGAGTGTGGCCACAGGGGGCCACCTCTGCTCTTCAAGACTGCATTGGGTCAACTGATTGGGACATATTCAGGGAAGCAGCTACCTACAACAACATCATAGACATCGAGGAGTACACAGATACGGTGAGCTCATACATCACCAAATGCATTGATGACGTTACACAGGTGAAAAGCATCACAACTTGAGCCAACCGGAAGCCATGGCTAACAGGAGATGTCCTCAGGCTGCTAAAGGCCAGAGACGAGGCCTTCAGAGCTGGGGATGAAATGGACCTGAGAACAGCGAGAGCAAACCTGTCCCGTGGCATCAGGAAAGCGAAACAGGACTACACACACAAGATAACCTCACACTTCAATGACAGCAAGGACGCACGGAGCCTATGGCAAGGCATCCAGGCTATTACAGACTACAAGCCTGCAGCGCGTAGCTGTGAGAGCGACACCACTCTGCTCGACAACCTGAACAGCTTCTTTGCACGATTTGAGACAGAACAACACACGCCCACAGAAAACACCACCACCTCCACACGACCAGCCTCTGTGCCTGTCTGTTGCCAGCGTGAAGAGGACACTCATCACCATCAACGCCCGGAAAGCAGCGGGTCCAGACAACATCCCTGGTAGTGTGCTGAAAGACTGCGCAGAGGAGCTGAAGAATGTCTTCACAGACATCTTTAACATACCTCCCTGAGGCAAGCCACTGTCCCATCATGTTTCAAGACTGCCACCATCATACCTGTACCAAAGAAACCATCCCCAGCTTGTTTCAATGACTACCGCCCCGTGGCACTGACACCCATTATTATGAAGTGCTTTGAACGACTAGTCATGTCACACATCAAATCCACCCTACCCGACACTCTGGACCCATACCAGTTCACATACAGAGCGAAACGATGCACAGAGGATGCAATCTGCTCTGCCCTCCACCCAGCCCTAACTCATCTGGACAAGAAAGACTCATATGTGAGAATGCTGTTCATAGACTTTAGCTCAGCATTCAACACCATAATACCACAACAACTCATCTGTAAACTGGACAGAGTGGGCCTCAGCACCTCCCTTTGCAACTGGCTGCTGGACTGGCTATAACAGGAAAGCTCTACAGCGCATTGTGAGAACAGCTGAGAGGATAGTTGGTGCACCACTCCCCTCCCTGAAAGACATTTACACCACTCGCCTCACCCGCAAAGCCATCACAATTGTCAACGACGCCACCCACCCCGCGCACTGTCTGTTCAGCCTCCTGCCCTCTGGAAAGAGATACAGAAGTCTCCGCTCCCGCACTACCAGGCTCACCAACAGCTTCGTCTACCAGGCTGTGAGACTGCTGAACTCTCTTCCATCACAGATCCCAGCCAGCAGAATCACCAGGGTGACAGGAGTATAGGATGACAGACTGGACCCCCCCCCCCCCCCCCCACACACACACACACACACACACACACGCTACCCCCCTCTCCTACACATCTTTGGGGGGCAGATCTGTGGTCCCTCACACTCCCTATTGGATGCTCCTATAGAGAAACCTTACATAAACAAGCGCGTGTACACACACAGGTGCTCACATGGTGCTCTCAAAAGTATGGACTTGGGCACGTTCAACACATGTCTTAAGGCTGTCGTTGCCACTAAATGCACTGTGATTTATTATCGTGTGATTGTTCAGTTAAACAATGTTGATTTTATATTTCATCATCAGGCTGACGCAGTGATAGCTTGCTCCTGATGTATTGTTGTGTGTCCCATTTTTTCTGCTCTTCTCTTTCTGCAGGTCTAGAAGCAGACTCTTGTTCATTATTGTTTATTTTTGTGTATTTTCATTTAACGGCTATAAGCTTTTGAACTCCAATGTATGTTTACTGTGAATTACATATCAATGACGAGAGATAAATGACTCATTGTTTTCCTTATCTTTTTTGGGTTTACTCTGTATTCTAAGCAATGCCAAGTATGTGCAATAAATTCGGAAACTACAAGGACACATCTTTCATCACTGAGTCGGAGTTTAGCTCACTGTCTAGTTGAAACTACCGCTACGTCTCAGCGAGGACAGTACAATAAAAAGGCATTGAGTAATCCAGAGTTCAACACCAAAGGTGCAAAGCACAACGAAAAAACAATGGAACAACCATCAGTACGTTCAAAAATCACAAAGCGCTCTCTCTCCTCTTCGTCCACCACCACGGTACAAGCGTGGGCCAACGCAGAGGCAGCAAAGGCGAGGGCTGCATTTGCAGAAAAGGAAGCAAAGCAAAAAATCGAAAAGGCTACAAGAAAAGCAGAGCTGCAATTAGAGAAATCAAGGCTGGATGCACAACCTGGGATATTGGAATTTCAAAGAGAAGCCGCTGCAGCTGTTGCACAAGCTGAAGCGTTGGAGGCAGATGAAGAATTGGAATCAGCAAAGTCAGATTCACCTGCACGTGAAAACATACAAAAGGACATTGCTACACATACTCGGGAGTATGTCCAAGAACAAGCAGAGCTTAAATTACAACAAAGTAAGGCAGCTGCACATCCTCCAACACCTGGCGCAGCACTACCAGGGGGGAGCCTTGTCACATGGGATGTTCCCTCACAAAAGAACTTAAGTGTACAGGATGAAGACAGTAACCAGCATAACGAACTGCAAAGCAAAACACTAGTAGACACTCAAGA